GACAGGGTCTCACTATGTAGTTCAGGCTGCCCTTAAACTCATGGCGACCCTCCTGCTTAAATCTCCTGAGTGCTAGGATTACAGGTGTGCACCACCATGTGTCCAACTCCTGGGAGTTTCTTGACATCTTGTGATGGAAAAGCATTTTAGTACACATCAGTGAGAGACAGAGCTTTATTAGGCAAAGTGGCAATTTAAGAGAAAATGGGAAGAGTTTGAGGAGCTGAAGGGGACACAAGTCTGATGGAAAGTATGACTGTCCTGTTAACAAAGGAACAAAAACAGTTTTTATAGAGAAGAAGGGTTGGCTAGAGTCTGACAATTACTTCAGTTCTGGTTTTGCAAGATGTCTTTGGAGAAGTCTTTATTCCTTCAGGGGACAATCTGGTCTTCATGAAATAATTGCTTTTGCTTGGGGCAGTCTCACAAGGTCTGCTGGAACCCAGCGAGATTGTAGGTTTAGGGAAATGATTGGAGAAGCCTGGGTGCTCCTTGTTAGTTGAAGGTCCCTAAAGTCTTATTAATTGAAAGTCCTTTAAGTCTTGAAAGAGGGTGAGATAGGTTATGTAAATTTATGGCCAATTTTGTATTACTGGCTTTTTTATTTATTTATTTATTTATTTATTTATTTATTTATTTATTTAGGTACCGGTGATTGAACTCAGGACCTTGCACTTGCGAAGCAGGCGATGGCACCACTGAGCTAAATCCCCAGCCCTGCCAGCTTTTAAGCAGATACTCTCTAAATGATGAACATGCTAAGCAAGGATCTGACTCATTTTTATGGTAATAAAGCAGACAGATACAAAATAAAGGTCAAGCTTTGTTCTGCTTTTAGTTACCCACTGAACATCTATAGGCCTGCCACTATTAACGGTCTGAGGAAGTAAGGAACTTTAACTTATCATACCCACAGACTGTGTGTTGACTCTCATTGCAGAGAAAGAATTTTCAAGTCTAGTCAGTAAGAGGCATGGAAAAGATTTATTTAGAAGAACAGAAGTACACAATGGGAGTTGAGAGAATGAGATGAATTATGTTCTGGAACTGGGAATATTTATGTATTTTGAGGGGGTAAGAATCTGTGGAATTTGTAAATCTATAGGAAATTCTGGCTTGGTTTACAAGAGATGGCCCACTCATAGGTAGAAAGATAATGGGTCAGGCGGAGGATTTAGCTTAGTGGTTCCTCTGCCCAAGTTTGATCCCTGGTACAGAGAGAGAGGGAGAGGGAGAGAGAGAGAGAGAGAGAGAGGGAGAGAGGGAGGGAGGGAGAGAGAGAGAGAGAGAAAAGAAAGGAAGGAAGAAAGAAAGAAAGAAAATGGGTCATATTTTACAGGTGAAATGATGACCCATTTTATAGGAGCAAAGCATTGGCCCACTGCGGGGGGTTTTTTGGGAGGGCGGGTACCAGGGATCAAACTCAGGTCCTTGCACTTAGGAGGCAGGCAGCAGAACCACTGAGCTAAATCTCCTTTTTTAAAAGTGGGTGATCCAAGATGTTTTGACTAAAAACATTCTTGGAACTCTCTAAATCTGTTTCTTTAAAATGAAGTTTCTGTGCTTTATCAACTAAGCTAATTTATGGAGTTACAGTATCTATAAAAGATTTGGGGTCTAAGTGGCCTAGAAAAGAAAACAGATAAGCCTGAGAATCATAAACAAGACTAGGGAGTATAGATAACCTGGTGTCCAGAGGTTGTAGTCTTCTTAAAAGTGCATTTTTTAAATTATGATTTTCTTTGTATCCTTTCTACCTATTTATTTGATCATACCTCAGGCTTAAGTGAAGAGTCACTGTATTTTTAGCAAAAGCAGCTTTTAGGTTCTTGGCTGTCTCAGAAGAAAACACAAGTCATATTTTTAATGAATACCAGTTAAGGGCCTAGGGTGTACCAGATCTTTATTCTCATGATGGTCTTGTCACTGGTTAGTCTGAGGACGTGCTCCATAGAGGAGGTGGGACCTCAACTCACCCACCCACAGAACAGGCTCCCTGACTTCCATCACAGAAAAATAATTTTCAGGACACACAGAAAAGATTATTGGCAGAAGAAATGTCTTGGTAACTGGGTTTTGGGGTTCTGGAGTCTCCTTCTGGAGGTGGTTTCTAGGTTCTTTCTGTACTGAGGAAAGAATTAGTCAAGACAAGCACAAGTGGTAGCCAAGTTTTATTAAAGGCAGGAAAAGAAACAGGCTGTACAGAGAGAGTTTGGATCAAGTAAAAGTAAGAAAAGAAGTATACCCTACAGCTGAGGGTGGGCCACCATTCAAGACAGAACACAGTGGCAAAAACTCAGTGTGGACTGTCATTTTTGTATCACCCACTCCTTAGGCTGACATTAGGTCTAGGCCATCCTGTTGAAAGCCTGCTTAAGTTCTCACGAGAAGTCCATATGCGAGGCTTTGGGAAATGTTCTGGACATGTGTCCTGGAATCTTGTCAGGCCTCCTTTCCCAGCCAGTTTTTGTCATGCCCTACCTACCTTCATATCTCACACTCAGGAGGGCCTACAGGTACTTGTACAGTGAGACATGTTTTATGACCTATTGCTGAGTATATCTATGTTTTGGGGGAGGTAGAAATCTGGAATTTGTCGATATATTGAAAATGTGGGCTCAATTTACAGGTGAAAGCTCCATTTTACAAGAGAAAGGCATGGACTCTATCTATTGTGTTTTTTTAAGACTTAGGAATTTAGGAATAAGTAGCCTAGAAGGAAAAGAAATGTAATTTGGGGTGGCTTTTATCCTGAAACTGCAGTGTTTAAAAAGCACAATTTAAAAATTATGATTTTTGCTTTGCCTTCTCATTTCTTCTACTCTACCCTTCTGTCTCAATACCAGTTTATTCTAAGATGCTGCTGTAAGTCTTGTCAGCACTACTGCAACAGCCTATTGATGTTTCTTCCCTGTTCCTCTGTAGTGTATTTTCTAACATGGGAACCAGAATTATCCCTTTAAAGTATTATTCAGATTATGGCATGCTCAAAACCCTCCAGTATTTTTCCATCCTCCTCAGAATAATAGGAAAAGTCCTTACAGTGCCTTGCAGAAGCCTGTATGATGTAGCCCCCTGATATTGATACTTGTCTAATCACATCATCTACTACTCTCCCTTTCATTGTTTTCTAGCTACATTTTTTTTTTTTTTAGCATACCAGAAATTTTGCACTTGCTCTTTGGAAAACCCGGTGTGACTTGTTCTTGCCTTTCCTTTAAGCTCTGTGCTTGTGTTACTGTCTCAGTAGAGCTTTCCTGCCCTGCCCTGTAAAATAACCATTCTCACATATATCCTCCTTACTCTTTCACCTGCTTTATATTTTTTCATTATCTCTTACATTCTTTCTCTCTACCTCCTTCTCATTTTCTCTTCACATGCACACACACACATACACACTTTGTGTCTCCTATACAATGTCATCTTCATGGGAATAGAGACTTAAGATTGTTGAGCAAACATATCAGTTGCTGGTCCTTAACGCACACCTGTGATCCCAGCACTTGGGAGGCTGAGACAGGAGTATCACTGTGAGTTCAAGACCAGCCTGGGCTACATAGTGAGTTCCAGGTCAGTCTCAACTACACAGTGAGACCCTGTCTCAAAAAACAAACAAACAAAAAAAAAGCTGCTCATCAAACATTTATCTTAAGGAGGTATCACCTGTTTCTTTCCAAGGATAGTGTCTTCTTTAGAAATTTGATTTCATATTTTTTGGACTTGTTTTAAGATACTTTCTGTCAGGAGTATTAGTTCTCTACTGCTTCCTTCTGTCTGTAAAGAAGCACAGGCCTTTCCCATTCTAAAAAAAAAAAAAAAAAAATTGAGGGAATCTCCCAGTGACCCTGCCTCTTCCTGTAACTACCATTCTCTCTGTACTTTCTTGAGCCAGAAGGGCAGCAACCGCCAGTGCCCGTAGGCAAGGGAGCCAGCTCCTGACCATTGGGTCAAGCTGTTTGGAAAGGTAGGCTACTGGTGCAAAGGAGGTCCCTTTGTTTTGTCCTAGGACTCCTGAGGCAATCCCCCTTATTTCAGACATAGAGAATGATCAGGGAGGGCTAGGGCGGTGGTGGAGAGAAGGGCGGTCTTCAGGGCTTTAAAAGAGGTATGAATGTCTAATGGGCCTAGAGGGCTTCAAGGAGTTTTGTTTTGTTTTGTTTTTGTTTTTTTGTCAACTCAGAGGGGTTTAGCCAAGAGCCCAAAGTTAGGAATCTAAAGGTGGAAGTAGCAAGCAAGGCCAAGGAATGAGAGGAGCTCTTCTCGTGAAACTGGAGTGGGAAGGGCCTCGATAAGTTTTTCTATCAAGAGTAATCTCGTGTTGTGGAGAGAAAGAGAGAACCCGAGGTAGGTGACTGAGTGTTGGGAAAGTTGGACCTTGTTGGGAGAGAATTGATACCTGCACAAGGCCAGGAAGTTTAGGAGGAGAGCAGTGTGGGCCTGTGAGTCTTGTAGGGTGGGGCTGCAAAGGAGCAGATCATCAACATATTGGAGCAAGGTAGAGGCTGAGAGGGTTAATTGGGAGAGATCAGAGGCAAGAGCTTGGCCAGAGTGGGGCTGTCACAAAAGCCCTGGGGGAGGAAAGTCCAAGTGTATTGTTGGGAATGATGGGTATCTGGGTCTGTCCAAGTTAAGTGAAGAGATCTTGGGAGTCAGGTGAAGGGGAATGTGAAAAAGGCATCTTTAAGATCGATGACAATGAAATGGGTTGTATCAGAGGGGATATGGGAGAGAAGGGTACATGGTTTGGGGACTACTGGGTGTATAGGAAGAAAAGCAGCATTAATGGTGTGCCAGTCTTTCACAAGGTGGTAAGAACCATTGGGTTTGATGATAGCAAGGATGGGAGTATTACAGGGTGAATGTGTGGGATGGAGGAGACCCTTTCAGAGAAGGTCTCGGATGAGGGGCTTGAGTCCCTGTAAATGTTTAAGCACTATGGGGTATTGGGAAACATTGGGGAAAAGGAAGAGGTCTTTAAGACAGATTTGGATTAGGGCATAATGGGTGGTGAGTGAGGGTTGGGTGAGATCCCAGCCTTCGGGATCAACTAAAGAAGGAGGCAGGGGAAGAGAAGAGGTGGGAGGGGAATCTGGTGCAGCTTGTACTAAGAGTAAATTAGTGGGTATATGGGAAGATGGGTAGAGAGTGATGGTGGCCTTAAATTTACTTAAAATGTCTCATCTGAGGAGAGGCATAGGTCATGTTGGGAGAATCAGGAAGGTATGGATAAAGAAGGTGTTGAGGAGAGAGAAAGTCAAAGGGACTGTCATAACTGGCCTAGTGGGAATTCTATCAATGCCTGTGATGAGGGTTTGCAAAGGAAATGTCTGTTCTGAGAAGTGGGTTAAGGCTGAATAAGTGGCCCCCATATCCAGTAGGAATGAAATGGGCTTACCAGACACGTGTTTCGTTACTCTGGGCTTGTGATGGGTGATCTGCATGAGGGCTGGCGTCCCTGGGCACCATCAATCCTCAGCAGCCAATCCTAGGAGCTCTGGCAAAGTAGGTAGGCCCTTCTAGTGGAGGTAGGGGAAGAGTTGTCTCCCTCCCTCTTTGGAAAAGGGGGCAGTCAATCTTCCAGTAGTCTTCTTGCTTACATGCTGGGCAAGGGCCAGGGGAGGTCTAGGATTAGGGCACTGTTTTTCCCAGTAGCCGGTCTGGTTGCATTTTAAGCAAGGACCAGGGGGCACTCTAGCAGGAGGTCTGTTTGTAGACCCCTTTGGTTTGGGGCCCTGTCTTGAGCCATGTAGGACATCTGCAAACATCTGGAATTTAGCCTTGTCTTGGAGGGCCTTTTCTTGTTTTTCTAATTCTTCCTGATTATTATATACTTTGAAGGCCAGGTTAAGGAGATCACATTGACTAGCCTGGGAGGGTCTTCTTCAACCTTTTTAAGTTTTTTTCTGCTATCTGGGGTGGATTGGGATATAAAGTAGGTATTAAAAATAATCACCCAGCTTGTGAAGTGGGGTCAATTTTGGTATATTTCTGAAGAGCCTCAGTGAGGTGCAACAGTAATTGTGCCAGATTTTCTTCCTGGGCTTGAGTTATTTCTCCAATCTTATCAGAGTTAACTGTGGGCTGTTTCATTTTTCCAAAGTGGCTCATTTCTTTTAGGAATAGGAGCCATGCTAGAATGTAGTACCAGTTGGACCATTTTGTCTGGTAGAGAACTCTGTTAATAAGAACCTCAAATTCAACATGTGTGAAACAAAATTCACTATTTAAAAACAAATCATTTGACTTTGTACATATAATAGAATCTAGTCTCTAAGATAATTGTAAGGATTGAGTAAGATAATACATAAAACAAGCTTCAAATTCTGGCAGATAGAAAACACATAGTAAGTATTAACTACTATTATTACATGATAGTTTCTCCTGCAAGTTTCTTAAGGGCGAGGACCATATTCTCAAACCTACCACACTGTAATAGATATTCTTTAAAGGTTGGGTTAAAATGAATAATAAGGGCCCAGGGTGGTAGCTCAGCAACACTGCACCTGCCTGGCAAGCGAAGGTCCTGAGTTCTGTTCCCAGTACTAAATAAATAATAATCTATTGAAGATATGGTTTGTATATCCTCTTATTATGTTATTGACAGTGGGATGACATCAGATATTTTTTTTTCCTTAGGTGCACTATGTTGTAATCATTCGAAGGATAATCAGATGTGCCGTGATGTTTGTGAGCAGGTAAGCTTGATGATAATTGTAGACACTATCGGTTATATAACTTTTTTAAAAGTTAGTTACGGAGAGATCTTTTGGACAGTGCCTTAGCTGTGTGATCAGGGTTCATATCCCATGAATGGAACAAATTGGCCTATGCCTGCTGACATGATGCACTAAGAACACAGTATCTTACAAAGGGTTCCTGCCAAAAATGCATAACCTAAGCCAGGAGAAAATAATCAGACAAACCTAGTTTGAGGGTTATTCCTCAAAACAACAGCCTATAGTCTTGAAAATATCAGTTATATTAAAACTACTTATAGCAGTTATTATGAAAACAAAGTCCTAAGAAACTGCCCCAGATAAAAGGAAACTAAAACCAGGTGTGGTGGTACACCCCTGTTATCTCAGCACCTGGGAGGCTGAGACAGAAGGATGATGAGTTTGAGGTCAGCCTAGCTTACCTAAATAAAAAAATAAAAGAGAGAGTGGGAAGGAAAAAAACCAAAGTGACATGGGATAGAACTCGGGTCCTCATGCTTGTGAGACAGGCGGTGGAACCACTGAGGTAAATCCCCCACCCTGCGATCTGTTATTCTCAATTGGATCCTGGAATGAAAAAAAAATGGTCATAACGGACTTTATTGAGATAAATTAGTAAAATTTGAGCATGGACTGGATCTTAATATTATTATATCAGTTTTGTGATTCAGAATTCGATCATTCTCGTGGTTTAATGTAACAGTGTCCACGTTCCAGAGATTTGTACATGCTAAGATTTAGGAGTGAATAATCATAATGTCTATAATTCTTAAGTGGTTCATCAGTATCATCATAATGACACCTGTGTAAGTGTAGCGAGAGTTAAAACAAATTTTGTGAGGGTTTGTTTGTTTGCTTGTTTTTCCAGTACAATTGAACTCAGGACCTTGTGCTTGTCAGGAAAGTGTGGCACCACTGAGCTACATCCCTGGCCCTTTGTAAGATATTAATAATGGGTGAATCTTAGTGAATACCATGTAGGGATTGATTTTATTATTAAAACTTTTTAGATAGAATTTATCTAGTTGTGCCTTATGCAAATTTCACTGTTTATATAGTCCTACCTTTCTTTTATCATATTAGTTGTGTCATCTAGCCTTAACACTTGAAAAATAATAATCTCAGTCATTTCCTGAAGTTTTCTACCAAGTGTGCTGTTAGGAGGTGGAGGGTAGTTGGAGGTATGTCACAGGGGGCATGCTCTGGAAGGGCCTGTCTCCTTCTCTTACTCTTCCTTTTGCTCTCTGTTTCCTGGTTGCCGTGGGATAAGCATGTTTTCTTCATCCATATCCTTCTGCCATCCCATTTCTGCATTGGAGCCAGTCAACCATGGACTGAAACCATAAGCCAAAATAAACTCCTTTACAAGCATAACACTGGCTTTCACAAACATATCTCTTGCTTTTATACTCTAAATTTTTACTTTTTTGTAATAGTAGCCAGCTGTGTGACTCAGTACCTTTCGCTGAAACAATCTTTGTGTTTACCCACTTGGTACGATGAACAGCAAGGTGTATACATGTGTACAAAAGTGTCAAACTGGGATTTTTCACCCACATGATGCTCCTTCCATCTGACAGGTTTTATATATGTTTACCTGGGCATCACAGAGGGTATAATACATCCACACCACTCTAGGATTTGTTTTTTAAAAGTTTTCGTTTGATTTTTCTGGTAGAAGTAGCCCATTTCAGTACAATGGCACATGAAAAACCAGATGTACAAATTTTGGAGGAGGTTAAAAGTGAATCATCAGATCACTCATGCAAAGCTGGGGGGCATGGTGGCGCACGCCTGTAATCCCAGCACTTGGGAGGCTGAGGCAGGAGGATCACTGTGAGTTCGAGACCAGCCTGGGCTACATAGTGAGTTCCAGGTCAGTCTCAACTACATAGTGAGACCCTGTCTCAAAAAAAACAAAAACAAAAAAACAAAGAGATTACTCATGCATGGATGATGAAGATGATCTATTATGGTAAAATGCATGTTTTCATAAAAGTGGGTAGATGATGGTGATGATGACTTTGATGTTGGTCATGTGACAGTGAAATGAAATGAGAATTGAATAATACAGACACAGGGAAGGAAGATCTTAATTCAGGTGACAATGAAAACATCAATGTAAGTACATATTTGACTGATTGAAATGTTGCATGGTCACACAACCAAATGGAGCAATTCACTGTTAAAATTAGGTCTGAAAATAAAGGGAGGATCTTGACAGGGGTGAAACCTATTGGATAGAATGCCAGACTGCCATTCAATTTTGGAAATTGTAACAGATGAACTGCTTGCTGCAAGATGTTGTAAAATACACAAAATCTGAAATACAGGTATGCCCCAGTAGCCATATTCAAAAATGTTTTTATTATGACACTTCACTAACTGAACTGAAAGCATTCATAGGTTTGCTGTACTTCACAGGTATTTCCCATGGCAGTCTGAGGAATGTAAAAGACTTATGGCAAAGCAGTAGGTCAAAGTGTGGCATAAAAATTTGTGCCCTTGTAGATATGAAGATTTATTATGCTTTCAATTTAGAAATTTATTCTGGGGCTCAGCCATCAGGTCTTAGTTCATATAGTAGTAAGCCAAATGATGTTGTTAACAGACTTGTTGCTCCCATCTCGAAACTAATCAGAATGTGACATTCAGCAATTGATTTACCAGTTTCCAATCAATGTTACATTTGCTAACAGAGCACAAGTTGACCGTGGAACTGTACACAGGAACAAAGCAGAAATTCCAAATGAAACATTACAATTTCAAAACAAAGAATGTTATAGTATAATCTTGGATTTCAGAAAGATTTATGTTGGCCTCATATATGGCAAAGAAAAGAAAACTGATACTGCTGATGTCAACATTGCACCACGATAGAAATATTGGTAGACAAACCTTGATGAAATGGAAGCCTAAAATAGAAACTTTCCACCACAAAACCAGAGGTGGAGTAAATGTTATTGAGTTATGCAGCAACTGTGATGTCACTTGGAACACAAAGCCTTGGTCAATGGTTGTATTTTACTTGATCTTCAACATGTGTGGCATAAATAGTTTGATAGTGTACAAAAAAAAAAGTGCAAAATACCACAGAGAAATTTTCTTAGAGAATAGGGACTAAAACTCATGAGAGATCATTTATAGCAGAGGGAAAACAAGTATTTCTGCCCAGAGAACTACACAAAAAAATTGTGGAGCACACTGGTGAGCTGGCAGGTGAATAGGCAGCTACAACATCCCAGAGACTTACTATGACAACTAACTTTGCTTACTAGGAAAACCAAAAAGATGTCAACTGTGCCCTACACGAAACAACAGGAAAGCAAAACATACATGCTGTCAGTGCAAGTGATACTTGTGCGTGGGACATGCAATATTCATGTGTGAAAATTGCCTTGGGTGTGACAATTGAGGCAAAAATTATTTATGTTGTATAGTTCTATTGGTATCTTCACTGTAGCTCCCATAGGATTTTATTGCTCATTACACATTTGATATTTTATTTTATTGATCTCTGATTTCCATGCTACATGCACGTAGTACAACATAGTAGGAAGCTCCTGACAAAACAGGAAGAGAAGAGAGGTGACAAGAATGGCCTGCCAGTAGGAAAGGAAAGCTAAGCACACGTTCTGTTAGTATAAGCAAGACATGTGCATGAAACATGTAGGTGTCATGTGTGAAGACTGCCTTGGGCGTGACAGTTAAAGCAAAGTTTTTTTTGTTTTGTTTTTTTGTAGAGTGCTTTTGGTATTTTCATTGTGGTTCATATAGGAATTTATTTCTGATGTTATTTTTTAGTTTTTGTAAGTAAGTACACAGCTAATGTGAAAATATTGATGTCTGTTCTAAGCACTCATTTGATATCTTAGTGATATCTTATTTTTATATTTAGGTGTAATATTTGAAGTGTAAAGGTTTTTCTGTAGAGTGCTGTTGATATTTTCATTTTAGTTCATGTAAGAATTTATTTCTGATATTATCTTTTAGCTTTTGTAAGCAAGTACAGAGCTGATGTGAAAGTATTGATGTTTATTCCAAACGTGCCATACATATTAATAAATTAATACTTTATTGATACTTTGTGTTCCTGTTAACAACACATTGTATAATATAATAAAAACCTCCTGACAAAACAGCAAGATCAGCGAAATGTCAAGTATGTCCTACAAGGCCAGGAAAGCAAAACACATATGTTGTCAGTTGATACGAATGTATGGAATGTACTGTTGTTTGTTATGTGTGAAGACTGCTGTAGGTGTAATAATTGAAGTAAAGATTGTTTTTTATTGTAGAGTGCAATTGGTATTTTCATTGTAGTTCATATAGGAATTTATTTCTGTTGTTCTTTTCTAGGCTTTGTGCACCAAAAAACAGTTGATGTTGAAAATTTTGATACTTTTTTATGACAATAAGTAATAAAAATGCAATACTTCATTTTGTGATTTTTTTCCCCTATTAAGCACTCATTGTTTGATATAATAAAACTCATTTAATTAAAATTAATAATTCATCAGTAGAAATATTCTAAAGAATAAACATCGATTTGATACACCCATGTTTTTGTAACTTTATGATAAAAAAATGTATTGTGCTCCTTCCCCTCCCTACCTTCTTTCCTCCCTCAGTCTCTAGCTAGAGTCCCTTCCCCAATTTTCATTATTATTATTACTATTTTAGCTTATGTTTGTGGCATATAGTGATTATATTCATTGAGGCTACTTGGTACATATACACGACACATTTAAAATATTATGTCTCATTCCCCTGTCCCCCTCCCCAACCTCAGTGTCTTGGTTCTTTTTCCATATGTATAAGATCTTTCTCCCTGTTTCCTTTGATAGGTCTTTTATATTGCTCATTATTTGTAGTTTAGATTACTGAAGTTACAGAAAACATATAGTATTTAAGCTTATGTGTCTGATTTATTTAATTTATTTCACTTGTTTTCAAGGTGCATTCATATTCCTACGAAT